AAAGTGAATACCAAAATAATTCAAAGGTTTTTTTAAAGAAATCTAAGTAATAATGTGGAACACATTTTTTTTAATGAACTCCAGTAACCTCTTTTTCTTCGCGTCTGAAATCCCTAGTTTGTTTCCAAAAGCAGGTTCTAATATCATATTATCAAATTCAATATTTTTTCTGTGATTAATAATTTCGGTTTCCATAAAACTTTGTTTGCCATATGAGTACTTATAAATCAAGGTAGTTGAATCAGATTTTTGCAGTTTAATAACTCAGAGAGTGGAAAATCTGACATGCTTTGGAATATTAATGTACATATTTGAATACAATTTCTTTAAATCAAGTATGTCTGTGAAACACAGTTCGTTCAGCTGATTTGCCCGTTTTTTAGTCTGTCTGATTATTACAGCATATTGATACAAAGATGGGACTGGACTTTTTATATTTTGTAATCTCATTCTCGATTTTCATATGAACGCTGTCTCCTTCGTTTTGGCTATGTCCCATAACAAAAAATTTGTGGGTGATAGACTTGATTTTTAGTTTGTTGATCATGTATACATAAGGGCAAGTATATACTTGTTTCTGTTTTTCCCACAACAATTGGAAGAGTAAAAACTTATGTTCAAATCTGCTCCATTACTTTTATTAGAAATATCTTCACGATATTTAAATAGGCATGTTCCTATTACGTTCGCACCTTGCAAACCTTTTACCTTGTGCCAAAAATAGCAGACTCCTTCTGTGGTTTTGATGTTAAATATACTAAAATTAAAAACATTCAACTTTGAGACATAAGAGAATCAATTTGCATGTCCAATAGGACACAGCAAAACTTTTTGTAGGTCATAAACTAAAACTGTCAAATCATCAGAAGAAGTTTGTCGTTTTTGTTTTTCTTCTCGGCTGAGTACCTTGTCCTTTAAATGTGTTCGTCTTCCAATTTAGCTCTCTCAGCTTCTGAACAGATGCGATACTTCAAACAAAACTCGCACTGATTTTTCTTCAGTACATGAAATGATAGGTTATACTCCTTAAAGATTTTGATGTAAAATTGGTAATTTGCGTATTCCAATTACTCCTCTTGACATAATTTTACATAATCTCTATGTAAATCTGATAAAGTTTTTCCACCTTTTATAAATTCGCGTGAAGTATTAGCTCTACAATAGTGAGCCTCGACTCTCGGAATTGAATCTATGTGTAATCTTATTCTGTCTTGTATTTCGGTGCCTATCTTTTTATGATGTCTGTGTTTTCCTCTTCTATCTATATCCCTAATCTTACCAGATTCACAAATACTTTGTTTTTTGAGTACAGTCTGAATAGTTCTATTGTCATAAAGTTATATTAATAAAGTTGCCATAAAATATGTTTTGCGATCCCTTATGTTTTACTCAGAAATTATAAAAGTAAATGCATTAGTCGGTTTTCTTGGATTCACAATATTACTATATTTATATTTTGGACTGATTTGTGTCATAATTGATGCTATATATTCTCTTTGCTTTCCAAGATCTCCACACCTCTAAAATTTTGAAAAAATGTGTTCACTTTGTTCAGCAGAAATTTTGTCAGAGCATTTAAGTCTAAATTTTTGACCACATGGTGGTAGAATGAATCTTCGTGGCCTTTCTTTTTTTTACTCTTGATATTGTACAATTTTCTTTTTTCTGTATTTGAGTAGAAATATAAGATTTTCCCTTGTTTCTTAAAATTTTTGATTGATTCTTTTGCCATAATTCAGGCCTTTTCTTTCTTTTTTTTTCCAATTTTCTCAGTTTGCATTTCAGCTGACACTTTCTTTCTCTCTTTTATGGATTCTCATTTTGATCTACTTCTATTTCTGCTTCAGAATCGGAAGATTTATGTGGTTCCTGATATATAGAATTGCACATGCTATTATCGGATAAATCTAAAAAAATAATGTTTCATTAAATATATACACGAAATGCCAAATAATTATAGGTACATTAATTTTTTCTAAGCAAACCATAACATGCTCTTAAACTAAAATTTATGATATTTGTATATAGATTGGGGTTACATTTATAAATCAATCTAAAATAATACAAATACATAAACTGAAATCTGCAAATCATAAAAACATTTAGACTTAAACCACAACTTAATTCAAATTTCTCGAGAAAAGTGTTATAAATCACAGTGCTACCTTATTCTTAACAAAATCTATGACCGCTAAAAGTCACATTTAAATATAAAACTTCTTTCACAATCAATACTACTAAATATTCAACTTACCCCGATATTTAATAGTTTTATAACAACTTATAACACTATTCCAGAAAGAGCACAGTCACTTGAAATGTTTTAAAACAAAATGTTAATGTTATTTCTCACCAGCCGCGATACTCCCACATGAACATTCGTTAATGAATTGTAACACTCGCATTCACTTCGCATGTTGTAATCTCGCATACAAATATTGAACTACAGTTATAATCATATTTCTCCGAAAAGTAGACCACTTTTTCAGTTGAGTACTGCATAAATCTTGAAAAACCGAGAATTTTGAGTTTTAACACTCTTCTTCAGCATGGTCAATATATTTATAGACAACAAAGTAGCCTAGGACTAGCAGTACTTTAGAAGTAATTTAACAAAACTACCTATTGAAAAAGTTGAATGTAGAGTATGAATTCAGGGAGAACTGTCTGGACCTTTTAAAACAAATAACGGGCTGCGCCAGGGAGACTCTCTCCTGTATACTGATCAATCTGGCTCTATATAATAATACATACATACAGGTAACTTCTTTCTTATTGAACACCCACAACAGAATCTCTAGAAGAACTCTACCATACTCTATCTCAAGATCAATAGATATAGATGTATGAGTGTGTCTTTCTTGATTCTTGTATTCTTCCATCAGCTGCCTTATAACGAAAATTGCATATTTTGTTTATCTGCCTTGCATAAAGCCAAACTGATATTTCTGTTTCTTCACATTTATCTGCCTATTAATTACTCTCTCCCATATTCTCATCGTGTGCATGTGACTAAGTAGTTTTATGGCCCTGCATTTGTCCCACTTTCATAATTCTATTAAATGAACCTATTAGCCAATGTGTAACTGTCTCTACTACAGCTCTCCATATTCCTCCAAATTGTTTTAGGACTTCCTTTCATACTCCAGCACATTTTTTTCTACTATTTTTGACCTGAATATTATTTCTCATGTTTTTACATCCAATACTTGATTTTTTGTGGTCCTCTCTGAAGTTTTGGTTTTGTTTCACTTTTTACATCCAGTATATTTCTTACTTTTTATGTCCAGCACAAGCAACTTATGTTGTTTACTCACAGTCTCACTACTTATTTAGACCAATCAAGTTGGTAAAAAATAAGAATTTTTTTTATCATAACTGTATAAAATAAAATAATACAACAAGACTTTCATCTAGGGATTCATTAATTTTTTAATGGAAATATTTTTAAATAAACAATCAAAACACCAAATTCATTATTTTGCTCATAACTTAAAAACTTGTATATTTACAGATTTGATATCCACAGAAAACTTTTTCAGAATCAAAAGATACACAAAATGAGATATGCTAAATTAAAATCAGATGATAAACAAAAAAGTTATTGCAAAATGAACAACAAAATTAGCAAAATGTACCTGAACTTAAGGGTCTTATTGTGTTTGAATTGTATATAAAAGATGGGCCAGATCAGTTGAATATTTTTTGCGAAATTTAATTTATATTAAATCATTTTGTATACATAATTATAATTTTTTAAAACTTTTATCAGCCTTAGAAATTAGCTCATTATCAGAACTTCATATTTAGGCACATTTAAACAAATTTTAATAAACAATAAAAAAGGTATTAACAATATTCAAAAACAGTGATTTTTTTGTCAATTTGCAAACAATTTTTTATTTATCATCTGATTTTAATTTAGCATATACCTATGTCATCTTGTGTATCTTTTTTTCCCAAAAAAGTTGTCTATTGACATTCAATCTCCAAATAGACAAGTTTTTAAATTACGAGCAAAATAATGAGTTTGACATTTTGATTGTTTATTTAAGAATAGTTCCACTAAAAAATTGATAAGTTCATAGATGAGACTTTTTGCAATATCTCATACTACACATTTGTAGTATGAGATATTGCAAATATGTAATGCAATATGTATGCAATACACATATGTAGTATAAAGTTGTGTGGAGTAAAAATCTAACTTAATTGGCCTGATTACGTTACAGTCCTCAAATTCACTTATATCTTCTTTTCTTGTCATGAAATAATTTATTTGGGAGTTATTTTGTCTACTTTTATGTGACTGGTTAACTATATTAACTGTAGTTAAACAAATAATAACATGAATACCTGATTGTTCTTTTTGATTACTTAAAAGACTCCTGCTTTTAAGAACATACTTACTACAATTTGTCTTATGAAACTTCTGACATATTTAATGACAAGCAGATTAAAAATCAACAAAAAATTTGTTGATATCAATTTATGTTGGGTCTTTTTCTCTAATGTATGAAAAAAAACTTACAAGTCACTAGTAAAATAAAAAATATGCTGGTCACATCAAGTACTCAATATAAAAGCTGAACCTGATATAGCTATAAACATTGATCTTACAGAAAGTAAGGATATCAAATTAAAGATATCACAAATACATATATAAAGGAATTATTGAGTATGTATTGACTGCACACCACTTAATAAGTGGTAATACCTTAATAAGTAAAAAAAAACAAAACTCAGACAATTAAGGGTATAAGGCATTTAACCAAAATAATAAAGGGGCATAAAAGAAAAGGAACAACAAGAACCTGAATTTAATTCATGAAGAATGTACATTTATGAATAAAACTTGGAATGAATTAAAAATAGACACACAACAAAAGGGATTTCGCACATTTAAAGAACTGTAAAAAAATGGAGTAATTGGATATCCCAAAACTTTGAATTTGTTTGTTATTACTACTACTACTGTGATACTACTAGTATATATTTACCATAATCAGATCTTGTTAAGATACACTGCATAGGATGATCAGTAGTGTGTCTTGTATTGGTGGCTCCTCCTTCATAACATGTTGCACAAAGATCATAATCATAACAAACTAGACACTTATATCTGCGTCCTCTAAAGTTTCCTTTTAGGCAGGAATCGCAGCTAACACCTAAAATACAATAAAAAATAATATGTGTACAGATCTACTTTCAGCATCTTACCTTCATGACGGCTCATGGTTATTGTCAACAATTTACCGAACACTTTATTTTAATAAAGATGTATAACATTTCAGAATACTATCGCAAGTAAGAATATATCAGTTGTACTAAAGATTTTGATTTTTGGTAAGTTCCAAATTTGGTATTTTTAACTACTCTCCTTTAAATCCTTCATCCGAAATGTAAATGTCACTTCGCTCGCTGTCAATTTCGTAAATTAAAAATTGACATTTGAGTTAATAACCTATTAACTCAAATTAAAATTAAAGTTTCTCAAGGACAATATGGTTTTTGTATATTAAATCATTTTATTATTTACTCTATTCTAAAAAAAAAATAAAATTCTATATAATACTTTTATTAACAATAAAATATACATTAAGAATTAATTTAAACAAAAATCTTTTCTTGTATAGGCAACCATTATTTCAGACATAAGATAATTAATATGCATATTGCCGTAACCAGCTCCATTTTCCTTATGCGTTGACGTTTAGTATTTTTTTTGTATTTTTTATAATAGATGATTGGGTTGGGTGTAACTTTTTTATGCACCTTATTTTTGTCCCAAATTTTTTTAAAATTTATTTTAAGTGTAGCTTTATTACATTCGTCTTTAAGTTTGTTAATCATAAAGCTTAGGTCTTCTACTAGACCTAACAACATGATTGTTAGCAATCCTATCTCTAGAATTGTAAGGTGAATTACGCTGAGGGTGTTTTCTAGATCTAGATCAATTTTAAAACGTTGGTTATGTACAGCAGTCTTAGAGAAGTCATTTTGATGTTTTAAAATGGGGCGATAGCGTTTTGTGTACCTTTATCGTTTCATTTATTTTATAAAGTTCTTTAGAAGACAATAAAAACTGAAAGAAATACCGATCCACAATTTGTCTCAAATCAGGCAACATGCGCCATAATATGTTGCATGAAGTTTTCTCATGGGCGCTGCCAGGATCATTTTTAGTGGGGTGCAACTGCTTTTTAGGAGGTGCATTTGCATCTACACGTACCTCCTATTAACCAATATAATACAATATAGAACTATACTTACATGTATTACTGGGGGTGCAATTGTACTTAACATAGATCAGTTACCATCTTTTAAGCGCACCACTTGCAATACAAACTGCTGGTTTCTCAACTCCCAAAGTGACTAAACTTTTAATAAATGCTCAACAGATTCATTTGAGAAAAATATTAAGGTCTTGTATGACACAATGAGCTATGTAGACATCTTCCGGACTGGTAATAAGTTTTTTTTGTACTTCTACGGTGTCACCAAATATGGTTTTTTTTGTCTGTATAAGGTAAATGCACCAGTACCTGACACTTTAGTATCTTTTTGATTGATTATGTACAATATTTAACGAAAAAATATAAAATGTGTTTTGAAGTACCGCTTTATAGGTTCCTAGGATATTATTGGTTACTATTGAGTGAACACATGAAATTGGTCAAATGCCTGACCTCAATATTTGGAAGTGTACTTAAATGTGTGACCCCGGTTGTACTTATACCTGACCCACTTGTACTAACTGTTGAAGTTGCAGAAAAGATAACAAATCAAAAGTAAAATTAGTATATTATGAATAATGAGTCTAAGTTTTAAAAAATATTTTATTACAAACATAATAGGTACAACAAATCGAAGAAATTATTGTAGACAAAAACTGAACTTTAAATGTTAATCAGAGAAAATTAATTTTCGGCGAATTCTGTAAACGTATTCATGTCTTCTATGTGGAATGTACCTCTGGATTTTTTAACCTTCGGTAAATCCATAATTGTAACGATATCTTTTTCATCATACCATATTTGGTCTTTTGTATCTGGCCAGCGCCATCCTGTTCTACCTCTTTGAGTCATTGCGGAAACAAAATACTCCTGTTTTTTGGCTGCTGTAACTTTACCTGGAAAATATTTACCATCATACTCTACCACCACGTAATCATTAAGTTTGGGCTTTTTTCTAAATGAATTATTTATGTTTTTCTTTAAATCTAATGACACATTCTCAGAAGTAGGTTTCGTTTTACTACCAATTTTTGTTGGCTTCTCTGTCTTTTTTCTTGGTTTCTTGCTTTCTTTTTCTTTAGTTTTTCAGCTTTAATTTTAAGTTGTTTTCTCGTTATGCTCCTGCCACATTTGACTTGTTACTACACTTGGTATTTTTTCTTAATTCTGGTTTTGGCTCTGGCCAGAAGAGTGCTCGCTTGAATGGACTAGGAACGTTTGGATCAGTTTTTGCACTGGTTACCTTTATATGATAATTATTTAATAAAAGTCTTCTGAGATCTCTAGATTCGACTTCAAAAGATTTTGGGAAATCTCAGTATTTTTAGTAGGCGTTACATGTTGTGGCAAATGCAGATTCTCTTTTGGTGGACTGATGATCCTTGTATTTGGGTTTTCTGACAATTCTAGATTGGTATTTTGAGGTGTTACATCTTTTAGAGTGTCTTTGATAGATGTTATATGTTGTGACAAATCTAGATTTAATTTTAATAGATCCTTGATCTCTATATCTGGGGCTTCGGATAATTTTAGATTGATATTTTGAGGCGTTACATCTGTTACACTGTATATTAATTTTCTTGATATGATAAATTGTTAAATTTTAAACAAGACTTGAATCATTATCAAGGAATTCAATAGCATCCGTTGAATTCCCTACAGAATCGATAAGATCAAAGTTAAGATCTGTATCTTCAAAAACAATTTTGGTCTCTTCAATAAAGCTTTCAAGATTTTCTTTATTCGAGTATTCAGACTTTTTGACTTTGCTGTTCATGTAAATAAGTGTGATCTTCATTGCTAGGGAAAAGATCATTAACAACTTTTGGATTCCACGGAAAATACCGCATTTCCATTTTCTAGAATTTTCGGAGTTATGCGATCTTTTATTGTCGTATCTAATAGTGGAGCGAAATCCCGTCTTCTTAATAACTCGTGTTGATTTTTTAACCTCCAAGAACTTACTTGCTCCTTCCAACCAGATTTCACCGTACGAAACACAGCTACGTCCATAGGCTGTAGTCAATGGGTAGCGTTCGGATACAAAGCAAGCAGAATTATATTTTTTTCTGATCAGAATTTACTGAGATGAAAGGATAAATGGGAAGCATGCCCATCGACAAAAAATATAATAGGAAAGAAACATGTTGTCTTGACCACGGATAAAACACATTGGCCGTGTAAGAATAAAAGTATCTGATCCCATCCACCCGTTTTCGGACACACCAATTTCCCAATGCGTCGGAATGTTTTTAGAAAGATCTGAAGGTATTCTTTTGTACCGAAAAATTATCATTGGTGGGGTTAAACTTCCTGCGGCATTTTCATTGAGTAGCACAGTGAGGCATTCCTTTTCATTGCTATTTACTGTTGAGTAAACAGTATTACTACCCTTCAGAGCCAACATTTTATTGCCCTTTGGGTTAAAAAAAATGCCGACTCGCCAGTATTAAATATACCTTAACACCTTTAAATTTATAAAGCAAGGTGGTTTTTGGCAAATTAAATTGTTTTGCTGCTGTTTTAACTGGTATACCATTTCTTACCGCAATAAGGGCGTTTGTCATTAAAATTTCAGGATATTGCAAAATTTTGTTGTAGCCATATCTGTATGATGTTGTAGCCATAATGTACTGATCCCCATCTCTTTATTGTTCGGATATATTTCGAAAAGCTGTTTGCCCATTGTTCAATTCGTCCTTCCTATTATCCTGCAACCATAGAAACATCCTGGTTTGGCATTGTATAGGCCTGAGTCCATTTCCATTACATAATCCATTACAACACGATTATATATTTTTTTATATAATGTTTCTGGCTTCCAATAAAAACGTTTCTGAAGTTTTATAAAGTCTTCGTAATGCCAAAGTGTCGACCGTTACAATATTTAACACAAACTTTTTAATCGTTACCTAAATGATGTAATTTAGTAAAATAAGCATTTTTCTTCAATTTGGTTGTTTCACTTCTTGAAATTTTTAAAACTGAATATTTGTGATACTATCCTTATTCCCATAATTAACCCTTAATAAGACATAAGATGTAAGGAGAATTAATATGTTTGTTTATATACTTTGGGTTTCTAAAGGAGGTAAATAAAACATACTTGTTAAAATGAAAAATAATTTGAAAAAGTTATAAAAAATTAGTGGTGGGGAACTATTTTCCCGTTGTTCTTTAAAAAATGTTTGTAGGTGGGAAATTAATTACTCTTGTACAGTTTGTGAAAAACTTTATTTAAGGCTGTTTTATCGGTGCACCAAAATTTTTTCTCTGTTATTTACCGACGAAATGTCTCGAAATTTGGACATGTTATACGAAATTATGTTGCCTTTAAACTGATGGTTTTACTTTTTTTATTTTTTTGAATTTTCTGTTGAAAAATTGGATTATACTGTTTAACGTTCTATTATAACCAAACTTTTCACGCCCATCAGTTGAAAGAGTTTTTTTTTTCTGTAATCGTTGATTCTTTTTTCACCTTTCTGTGTCCAGTAATAATCGAGAAAAGCGCATTCAAACTTTGAAGAAAATTGCTAAAAAATACTGAAATCTAATAGTGAAACGTGTTCCTCATCATTGTCGCTGAGCTTGATCGTTATCGCATTAGTGACGTCAAATCTCATGAGCGTACGGTACGGTCTTATTTTTATTTCTCTATGGGTACGGTCAGTTAGTTCGCTTGAATTAGAATCCATTTTAGTTCTTTCATTCTTGTATTTTCTTTATCAACTTGCTTAGTTTTTACAGTTTACAGTATTCTTATTTATGTTGAAAACATTGAAATTATTTAGTTTACGTGTATGTTAAGTAATATATTATTAGTTTAGTGGTATAAGTTAAAAGTTCTTTAGTTTACGCGTATTTTTAAGTATTACATTAGGTTAGTGATATAAGTTATAAGAGACAAGATAAAAAATGAGTCCCAGTAAACGTCCTATGTCAAGGAGAACAAGAGCAATTGCACTGCAGTAAGTATTTATTATTTATATTACAACCGTTTTTAAAAGCTTTTATTTAACTTTTATATATATATATATATATATATATATATATATATATATATATATATATATATATATTATATATAAGTAAGTAACGATTCGTAAGTAACCCTTTTTACTTTTTTTTTTATTTACTTACCGTAAAGTAAGTAAATAGAGGGTTCATGACCTTACATATTATTTGTTTATG